TTTTTTTTTTTTCTTGAAAACCTCCAATGATGGAACCCCCACAACTTCTAGTGGCAAGCAGTTCAATTCAATTAATCCTTCCATCATTCAAATTAAAAAATGATGCTTATTCAAAAAATTGCCTGGTATTGAACAAGAGAGTTACTTACTCAGTATTGATAGTCCTCGAGTTACGACCACAAGTGAGGCCCACATTTCTGTTGCTAAGTAGGCAGTTGTAAAGTGAATTTTTTTTTAAAGCCCTGTTTTACAACCTTTTTTTGCCACCGTTAAGTGAAACACTGCCGCTGTGAAGCGAGTGACATTAAATGAATCTGTCTTCCCCATTGGCTTTGCTTGTCAGAAGGCCGCAAAAGGGATGCTACCACGGTCGTAAGTGTGAAAAACGGTCCTGGGTCCCTTTTTTTCAGTGCCGTTGTCACTTCGGTCACTAAACGAACCATTATATGTCGAGGAATCCTTGTATTTTTGCACAATAAATGCAAAAGCCCTGGCATCCAGAAGGTCTCTGGGGTGTTTTATGTCTCCTGCAGAGCCAAATCATCCTCTGGTAGGGGAGGTTTTAAAAACATTAGCAGGGGGATTAAATTCTTTTTCATTTGCAAACCTGCGCTCCTGTGGAAAAAGCCCCCTTAACAGCCAGCTAATGCCTCCCTTTCCCTGCCGGGGGTGGGGGGGTCAGTGGGGATTGGGAGAGGGCAGCCTTTGCAATTGGGGGTGGGTGGCCCACTTGTTTAAGATACTTGTGGGTCCTGTTGAGGTAATTCCCGTTAGGAGAATGAGTGCATACAGGGAGACGTATAGAGAGTAGTGTTGGAATAATACACACAGAGCACACAGATACACTGTACAGTAAATGTAAGTTTTTACTTCCAGAAAGGTTTAAGCAAAGTCCAAAATAAGCAATCCAAATTCATTCACAAGTTAAATCAGTCAGTTTTCAATCCAGGGATAATCCAAATATCAAAGTCCAGTGTCAAAAAACAGTTCAGTAAGACTTACATTAAACCACACCTAATTACAGTTTTGCATTTTCTTAAAGATACAGTTTTAAAATGTTTATCCTGGTTTATATATTTCTAACCCAAATACCTGTTAGGTGACTTATATTCCTAACATTCTCCCCTTTTGGGTAAGACAATATATACAACCTTACATTCTAAGTCCATAATCTTCACAGCTAGCCTTATGCTTTATGGAGCCTTGGGCCTTTGTAAAATGATCTGCGATATTGTTTTCTGACATACAGTATTCTAGCTTAATCATTTTACTTTGCACACATTGTCTCACATTTAAATATCTTAAATCTGTGCGTTTCGTTCTTGTTTTAACAGCAATATTTGAAGCCATCTGTATTGCTGATTGGTTATCTTCGTAAACAACAATGGGATCTTTTACATCAATTCCCGTATCAATTAATAATTGCTTATACAAAACTAAATCTGTACATAGTAAAGACAAACATGAGAATTCAGCCTCCATTGTTGACAAACTTAGATGTTTCTGTCTAATAGATCTCCATCCAATCAATGCTTTTCCCAATAACACAGCAGTACCCAATGTAGATTTTCGTGTATTTATGTCTGTAGCAAAACTTGCATCAGCATATGCAGTCAAATTCAGTTCATCTTTTGGCTCCAGATACAATGCATAATGCATTGTTTGTTTCAGATATCTTAACACATGTTTAGCAGCTTGCCATTGCCTTTCAGTGGGCTCAGCGTTAAATCTCGCTAATTGATTAACACTGTATGCGATATCTGGCCTTGACCAATTACTGAGATAAGATAAACTACCAATCAAGGACTGATAAGTGTTCTTATCAAAAACAGGACTTTGAACATCACTATGGATAAACTCCTGGCTCATTGGTGTTTTAGCCGGTTTACAAAGTTCCATTTTAAAACTTTTTAGTAATTGGTTAATTTTATCTGCCTGTGAGATTTTGTATCCTCCCCTAGTTCTATCTATCTTTAAACCAAGATATGGTTTGATTTCTTCTAACTGTTTTATCTTAAATTTCTTTTCCAATAGTGAAATTATCTCAGTAGCTTCTTGTTCAGTTTTGGTGATTAATGCTATATCATCAGTAAACAATAGCAACAATGAAATCATACCATTACTTTTTCTTTTAAACAAACATGGATCAGCCATGCCAGCTACAAAACCTATTTTAGTTAATTCTTTAACTATACATTGGTTCCACTCATATCCTGATTGCTTTAAACCATAAAGACTCTTTTTCAATTTCCAGCAATCATTATTATCAGTATTATCATTTTTTAGACCTAAAGGTTTCTTTAAATATATAGTGTGTTGCAACAGTGCATGCAGATAGGCTGTCTCTACATCCAAATGATTTACAATGTATTTCTCCTTAGCTGCCCACACTAATGCTGCCCTTAATGTAGTAGCCTTCAGACCAGGAGCAAACACCTCATCATAGTCATTTGCTGTCTGATTGAACCCTTGTGCTACTAACCTGGCTTTATGGGTAACAGTCCCATCTACACCTGTCTTCAATTTATATATCCATTTACATCCTATAGCATGTTTACCTGGTGGTAACTTAATGTTTTCATATACCTCCAGTCTTTTTAATGATTCTAGTTCCTTATCCATTGCTTTCTGCCAAGCAGCCTGATCCTTAGCAGGATACAGTTTCAGTTCATTATAATTACTTGGAACTGTATTCACTTGGCATACAACACTAGCCTGATATCAGGTGGTCGTGTTACTCGGGTTGAACATCTTGGTAATACAGGGCTAACTGGTGGACTTTCCTGTGCCACCTGCTCCTGTTCTTCTACCTCTTCCTGTGCCTGTTCTACTACTTCCTCCTGTTCTTCCTCTTTAATGGCTATTTGTTGTTTACTGATATCATCTTGAGGGACTATTTGGGTGTCAATAATAATATTGCTGGATTCCTGTTCCAGTTTATCCCACCCAACGTGCTCAAGAAATTTTGCACTAGCACTACAATAAACATGAGCTGTGCCTTGATCCCAGAATCTAAATGGTTGGCCTCGTAACCCACAAAAAATAACTTCTTAGCTCTATGTTGCCCTTTCAGTCTTACTTGTGAGGGAATATGCACCCATGCTGGAGCTCCTAATGTGTGTAGGTAACTTAAATTTGGTTTTCTGCCATGCCAACGAGTGAATGGCAATTCTCCAGTTGTTGTATTTACTACATTGTTTAAAACATGGTTACTACACATTATGACTTCACCCCACAGTGTTTCAGGTAAACCTGAGTCAGATAACATAGTGCGAGCCATGGCTTGTAATGTTTGCCCTCTTCGTTCTACAAATGAGTTATGTTGTGGTCTGTAAGGTGCAGAATGTTTATGTTCAACACCAGCCAATTTTAAGATAGTTTGGAATCTTTTGTTAACAAACTCAGTCCCATTATCAGTTACTAAAGTAATTACTTTACTTTTCATTTTTCTCACAGCAAACCTTAGCCAGTTAAAGAAATGTTGGAATGTTTCTGTTTTTTCATAAGATAGCAGAAACCGTATCGTGAGTAATGGTCCATAATGCTCAAAATATAACAGGCACCTCCTAAACCTGGTTTCTTAGGACCAATTATGTCAGCAAAAACAACCTCTAAAGGTTCTTTGGTCTTAAACCCATTTAGTCTGTTTGCTGGAGTAACCTTACTCTTTTCTTGACTACAAGCATGACAGTTTAAATACTTGCTACAGGGTTTCAATTTTACTCCCTCTGACAATTTAACAGTTTGTTTGAGCATTTTGAAATTAATGTGCCCTAGACGTCTATGTAGTAAATGTATACATTCATCATGTGGCTTAACATTGTTATAAACTGAGTTAGCCATCTTCAACTGGTCATCATGTATTACATATAAATCATTCTTTAAAGTAGCAGTAACACTTTTACTCTCTTTCTCTATTATACAGTTATCTCCCCTAAAGGTTACTACATAACCAATATTAACTAAAGCCCTTACTGATAGCAAATTAAATTTTAGTTTAGGTACATATAACATAGTTAAATGTTCGTTTATACAAGGACAATATGCAGTACCTTCACCTGATGCTTTAATCTTCCATCCATTTGCCAATGATACATGTTGTTTACTTGTGGACATCTTTACAAACCTTTTTCTATCTTTAGTAATGCATTGCGATGCTCCACTATCAACAACCCACAAATCATTGTTTACAGTTGAATTGCTAGACATAGCTAAACTAACATTCTTCTTGGCCTTCTGGTGATTACCAGTATTCTATCTTTTTCCTTTCTTACAGAATCTAGCTATATGTCCCCTAGCCCCACAAGAAAAACATTTCCTAACAGTATGGGCAGTTGAAGACAAATTCTCTTCTTGTGGTTGTTCCTTCCTCAGTTGGTCTCTATCCAGCCGTCTTCTTGCTTCTTCTAACAATCTTCCAGTTATTTCAGTCAATGTCAGTTTATTTCTGGGCAGGACTTCCAGTGAAGATACATAATCATTATAACTTTCATCCAATGAGGAAAGAATGATGTAAACTTGATGCAGCTCTGAAAATATCAGTTCTTTTTCATGTAGCTCTTGAAAAGTTCTTTTCATGAAGTTCAAATGAGCTAACATATCTCCACCTTTCAGAAGATGTGCTCTAAACAGTTTACGTGTAAGATGTATGTGTGCACCTACACTGTCACGAACATAAATCTTCTTCAAATTCTCCCAACACTTAGCAGCAGACTCTTCTCCACGAATATGGACTAGCTGTTGGTCACTCAGTGTTAGTCCAATTATACAAAGAGCTCGTTCATTGTTCTGTTTAAGGTCAGCAAGCTTCTTGGCATCATCCTCATTATTTGGATCCCAAGCATTTACATCTGGTGGATCTTGAACTACATTCCATAAACCTTCTCTACGCAGAAGTAGACTGCACTTCATAGACCAGGAGACATAGTTTGTTCCATCCAACCGGGTTATCAGTGATAGACTTGTTGAAGTGACTTGTGCCATCTTTACCAGGATAGTAACCCACAATTAAACAGTAAACAGCTGTCTGTATACGGTACTGTGTATTCACACTAACTCTCAGTTATCTGAGCCTGGTATGGTCTGGGCCCATAACCAGTGTTGAGGTAATTCCCCATTAGGAGAATGAGCACATACAGGGAGACGTATAGAGAGTAGTGTTGGAATAATACACACAGAGCACACAGATACACTGTACAGTAAATGTAAGTTTTTACTTCCAGAAAGGTTTAAGCAAAGTCCAAAATAAGCAATCCAAAGTCATTCACAAGTTAAATCAGTCAGTTTTCAATCCAGGGATAATCCAAATATCAAAGTCCAGTGTCAAAAAACAGTTCAGTAAGATTTACATTAAATCCAGTAATATCAGTCAATTAGAAGAAATGGAGCAAGGGCAATGCTTTCCAACAGAAAGAAACAGAGATACACTCTCTCCTGAGACTCAGACTAAAAACTAAACAACCCAGGTTTCTGGCTCCATCTTATGGCCGTTTGCAAAACCACACCTAATTACAGTTTTGCATTTTCTTAAAGATACAGTTTTAAAATGTTTATCCTGGTTTATATATTTCTAACCCAAATAGCTGTTAGGTGACTTATATTCCTAACAGGTCCCCTTGGTGGCTTGTGCTAAGGATCCCTGGCATGGGGAGTGTGTGTGTGTGTGTGTGTGTCTGAGGGGGTGCTGAGGGGGGGAAGAGGGGTGATGAGACAGCTGCCAGGGCCATCAGGAGGAAGACACTCCCCTTTTGGGTGGAGTGGGGGCTCTGGGGGCAACCCCCTGTTCATTCCTGCTGTATCCAATCTTGGAAAGAGAGATGGGTTTGTTTTTTTAAGCAGGCCCCCAGCCCTATAAAGAGAGGTGGGACAGCCTCCCATTTCCCTCCACTGGCGAGAGGGAGGGGCTGCTTTTCACTCAGGAACTCAAGGCGGGGGTGGGTGGGTGTCTCCCTCTGGCAGGCCCTTCCCCTGCTCCTCTTAACAAAGGCAGCTGAGCCCGTGGAGCCCCTCCCCAACCCAAACCCCCAAGGTATCCGGTGTCAGTCAATTCGTTGTCAGTGTGCGGTATGACCCTGTCCCATGTTTGCATTGGACTGGGAAGACTTTACTGGGAGGGGGGGGCTCCCGTGCAGGGAAATTAGGGGTGGGGGTCGGATAGAGTCAGAAGGCCTGGTTAGGCAAGAAGGGAGCAGGGTCCAAAAGAGACAAGTTGGCAACCCACACAGTGCTTGTTAAAAAAAGCAATATACCATATTATATAATATAAATATAGAATATAAATATAGAATATAGAATGGAATGGAATACTGAATATGGAATACAAAATACAACATAGAAATAAAATACAATATAGGATATAGAATGAAATGGAATACAGAATACAGAATAGAATATAAAATATAAAATATAGAGGATAGGATAGGATAGGATAGGATAGGATAGGATAGGATAGGATACAGAACAGAACAGAACAGAACAGAACAGAACAGAACAGAATAGAATAGAATAGAATAGAATAGAATAGAATAGAATAATGGAGTGAAGAAAGAATAGAATAGAATAGAAATAATAGAATAGAATATAGAATAGAGTAGAAAAGAGAATAGAAAAGAGTAGAATGGAATGGAATACAATAGAAAAAAAGAGAAGAGAAATAGAAAATAGAATAGAATTAATAGAATAGAAAATAGAATAGAACAGAAAAAGGAAAATAATAGAATATAGAATAGAAAAGAGAATAGAGTAGAAAATAGAATAAAATTAATAAAATAGAATTAATAGAATAGAATACAGAGAATGGAATAGAAAATAGAATAAAATTAATAAAATATAATTAATAAAATAGAATAGAATACAGAGAACAGAATAGGAAAGAATAAAATAAATAAAATGGAATTAATAGAATAGTATACAGAGAATAGAATAGGAAAGAATAAAATTAATAAAATAGAGTTAATAGAATAGAATAGAATACAGAGAATAGAATAGGACAGAATAAAATCAATAAAATAGAATTAATAGAACAGAATAGAATACAGAGAATAGAATAGAAAATAGAATAAAATTAATAAAATAGAATTAATAGAATAGAATTTAGAATAGAATAGAAGAATAGAATAGAATAGAATAGAATAGAATAGAATAGAATAGAATAGAGAATAATATTGAAAACAGAACAGAGCAGAACACAGTACTTTATTTAGTCAAGTGTGGTTAGCCACACCAGGAATTTGTCTCTGGTGCAGAAACACTCAGTGTATTTGCAAAACAACAGAGAAAATCATCACCACCATTTTCACTTGTGCAATCTCTGGTCAGACAACAGAACTACTAAAAAAAAAAAAAAAAAAAGATTATTCTAGCCAGCGAGCCAAGCTGCATGCCTAAGCAAAAGAATTGTTTAAAAATCTTTCTGGCAACCCATAAAATCTGACCTGGGCAACAAATCCTGGATTGACTTTTGGGCAGCTCCCCCCATCCCTCCCACGAACATGGCTTGTGCTTTAACCCCAATCTGAGGTTTGTCTGTTCCTGTATCCCTGTAGCCCCCCCTCCCCAGCGCCTGTCCCCCGATGGCGCCAGACGACGGGACCGAATGGCTGCTGCAGCTGCTGAGCAAAATCCAACTGGAGCAGTTTTACCCCAGGATCCGAGACGAGCTTCACGTCACCCGCCCGAGCCATTTCGACTACGTCAAGCCCCTCGACCTGGACCGCATCGGCCTGGGGCGCCCAGGTGAGGTGCAGGGAAGGCGGGATGGGGGAATTGTGTGGGAGCGTGTGGCAACTACTTGGCGTTGACACCTCTCATGAAGACTTCCCAAGTTTATAGTCCTCATGAGGTGAAGGCGGAGGGGGGGCGGGAATCAACTGGTGTAACCATTGGTTCGTCGAGCCCGCGATCTGTGCTTCATTTTAAAAAACGGCCATTTTCAGCTTTGAAATTCACCTTCGACTGCAGCCTCAGTGAGTAAAACAGCGGAGGAGTGGCATAACCGTTGTGCCGCGCGAATCAGCTGGGCTGCAAAACACGGAAATATAGGACAGACTAGGTGAACCTATGGCACGCGAGCACGTGAGCCCCAGCCAAAGTTACAAGCACTGTGCATGTGTGTGCCTCCCAGCTGATTTTCAGCCCGTTTGAGGCCGTTTTCGCCCTCGCACAGCCTCGGGAGGCCAAAAAAAGAGCCATCTGGAAATACCAGAAGTGGGGCAACGGGCCCATTTTTCAGCCTCCCGAGGGTACAGAGGCCTCCCCCAGTCTCCGGAGGCTGAAAATGGGCACTTCCGGTATTTCTGGAAGGCCTGTTTTTCGGCATTCCGAGGCTGCAGAGGCCCTCCTCAAGCCTTTAGGAGGGCGAAAACGGCCTCCCCTGGGCTCGAGGCTCTCCGGAGGCTGACAATGGGCACTTCCAGTGTATCTGGAAGGCCCGTTTTTCAGCCTCCCGAGGCTGCAGAGGGTCCCCTTGAGCCTGAAACAGGCTGAAAATCAGCTGGGAGGCGCATGCATGCAGTGCAAATAAAGGGGAGGGGTGGTGGTGTTGCACGTGCATGCGCAGGGGGGTGCAGGCTGCATTGCATGGGGGGTGCCAGCACGCACGCACGCTTTCGGCACACTGCAACACGAAGGTTCGCCATCACTGGACTAGGGAAGCGGTGGGTGGACAGTGCCAACGGATTGCCGGAACAACCAGTTCACGCGAACCGGCCCAAACCGGCTGAATCCCCACCCTTGATGTGAAGGGAAAACAGACGGGGAGAGTGCACAGTGAAAAGGAGGATGAAACCAGACCTGAAAATCCTGTTGAAAATAAATAAATATACTGGGAGTCCTCATCTGATGACTCCTATTTCTGTTGCTAAGTGAGGCAGCAGTTAAGGGAAACTTTTGGCCCTGTTTTACAACCTTTCTGGCTGCTGTTGTAAAGCGAGTCACCGCCGCGGTTCAATCCGTCGCCCGGTGGTGAAGCGAATCCGGCATCCCTCTGGGTTGGTCAGATGGTTGCAAAAGGGGAATCGCCTGACTCCCTGGAATGCCGCGATCGTCGTAAGTATGAGTCAGTCATCCAAATTTTTCAAGTGTGGAAAAGTGGTCCATCAAGTCACCTTTTTTCAGGGCCGTTGTTAACTCTGAACAGTCACTCAAGTCGAGGATCCCTGCAATGGAGGAGTCTGCTCCTAGATGCCATATCTCACAAGACTTCTAAACTTTCTAGTCCTCATGAGCACCTGAGAGAAAAAGCTGGGGAGGGCGTCTGGTAGCATATAATACAGGATGCTACAGGAGGTTCAAAACGGATGTGTGTCTGTTTAAATTGGATATAAAGACCTTCCCTTTTGCAAGAACTACTATCAAGGGGATAAAAATAGTGGTTCCCCCCCTTCATTTGGCAACTTTTAAGACATCACTTGAGGCTTTCAAGAAGAGACTGGACTGCCTTCTGTCAGAAATGGTGTAGGCTCTCCCACTTGGGAGGAGGGGGGGTTAGACAAGATGACCTCCAAGGTCCCTTCCGACTCTGGTATTCTATATTCAATGGAACAAAAGTGGCCTTCGGAAATTGTGGGAGCATCATCACTGGACACTTTCAAGAAGAGATTGGACTGCCATTTGTCAGAAATGGTATAGGGTTGGGCGGAGGGTTGGACTAGATGACCTACAGGGTCCCTTCCAATTCTGATTATCTGTTTTCTATGGGCTTTCAACTCCCAGAGTTCCTCAGCCCGCAAAGATTTACCCAGAATTCACGGATAGGAGGACAAGAAGACATGTCAATATAGACAACTTTAGCACATTTTTTTTCCATAGAGTAACTTTCTTAATAATAGATGGTGGGAATGCGGCAAATGTAGTATATCTTGATTTCAGCAAAGTTGGGGGGGGGGGGAATGGCCGGCTGAAGAATTCTGGGATTTGTAGTCCACAAGTCTTAAAGGGGCCAAGCTTGGAGACCACCCTGGACCTATAGAAAGGAATATTACATGGGAATCATTTCCAAGGGATCACGAAGCCCCCACCCCTTAAATTGCCCATGGAGGCAAAAGGGTCTTGCTGGCAAGCATGGTTTGGGTTTGAATTCGATTTTCCCAGACTGAGGTAGCTTTTATCTTACAGGTCAGCGGCGGCTCGAAGAGGCCTTGAAACACCGGAAGGGTCAAAGCCAGCGCCCCAAGTCCTGGGTCTATAAGGTGAGTGCGGGGACCCTCCCCTCAAAGGGACATGCCGGGGGGGCAGGTTTGCGGGGTGGGCGGGCATGTTATGCGAATGGGATTTCCTGCAGCTGTGGGGATCCAGCTGTTCCCTGGGGCAGGTTTGGAGAAGCGAAAAGAGGGGTGGATTTATTTGGGGAGTGGGCGGTTGGGGAGGGTAGAAGTGATACCACAACTTGCCAAATAGAGGAGAATCTTTGTAGCTTTGAACTGCAGGGACCTGGGGTGGCGTGTCTGAGCCAGGTGGTTTCCTTGCAGACATTTTGTGACCCAGCTAGGGAACGTCATCAGTGCTAGAAGGAAGAGGGGGTTAGGGAGAGGAGGAGGAAGAGGAGGAGGAGGAGTGTGGGGTACTTGGTGATCTATGAGCTGGGTGGTTTTCTTGCAGACGTTTCATGACCCAACTAGGGAACGTCATCAGTGCTAGAAGCAAGAGGGGGTTGTGGGGAAGAGGAGGAGGAAGAGGAGACGGAGGAACAACTGTGGGGTCCTTGGTGCTCTCTGAGCTGTGTGCTGTTCTTGCAGACATTTCATGACCCAACTTGGGAACATCATCAGTGCTAGAAGGGAATAAGATGTGAAGAGAGGAGGACGAGGAAGAGGAGGACGAGGAGGAAGAAGAGGAAGAGGAGGAGGAGGAGGAAGAAGAGGAGGAGGAAGAAGAGGAGGAGGAAGAAGAGGAGGAGGAGGTAGAGGAGGAGGAAGAGGAAGAAGAGGAGGAGTAAGAAGAAGAGGAGGAGGAGGAAGAATAGGAAGAGGAGGAGGAAGAGGAGGAAGAAGAAGAGGAGGAGGAGGAAGAGGAGGA